CGTTTTCCTCGTTCACCTGGCTCGATGCCACTGCTGGAGGGTGTCGGAAGGTTATGCGCTCATTCAACAGAAGTATATCGATCAAAAGGGACAAAAAGAACCATGGAGAAGAACCTCAGAAAAGGGAATGATGACGCGATGGATGCGCGATGACCGCACCACTCTTTTAACGGAAGGAAGCAAAGCGGGAGGACCACACCAACGGCACATGGGTGAGGGAGAGATAAAGGGAAGCAGACGTTTTCGAAACGGGAGGGTAATTAAACCCAGGCACTGTCACTGTGTTGGGAGCGCGTAGGAACAGCGTTAATTAGGAAGAGGGAAGCGTTATGAAGGGAAGGGAAGAAATAAATAAATAAAAGCAAACGAGAATGCGCTGTGGAGTCGGTCGGAGCAAAACAAACGGAAACCCGTCGGGAGACGAGTCGGCTCTGAATGAAAGGCGTAAAAAAAGAATGGAATAAATGGCGGGAGGGGTAGAATGCGAGGGAGGTAGAAAATTAAGTGGTGATACGAGAAATGGACTCCGTCAACGCAGGGCAAAAAGAAGGAAGGAAGGAACACCCTTCAAAGGAACTTATGGGCTTAAAGGGAGATGAACTGAGTCACGGTATTTCCCTCTGTAATCTCCTCTGTTTAGCGGAGAATGTCCGGGTGGTTAACTTTGCTTGCGTTCAGTCAAAGGGCGGGAATAGGAAGCGGGCTGTAAGTTATGGTCAGGAAGAGGCAACGAAGAAGGTGGAACGAAGGATTAGAAAGGTGTGAATCTCAGCGGGGAAAACGCGCATGAATATCTGGGGAGGAATAGGAAGCTGAGCTTCCCGCCTAAAACAACGTTCACTTCTTCTCCGTTCTCTTCACTAATTTATTCATTTCGTACTCTATTCCCAGAGTCCATAAGCTAGTCCTGAGCCATTCAAATTTCTCCAGCTCTCATTCGCACTTCTGTCGAAGGGTCGCCATGCTCCAAGATCCCTTCGGTCCCTCAGCCGCCCTTGTCCCGTAGTTGCCTGAATTACGTTCGGTATGGTGGGTGACTGTATTTTTCGGTTTTTTTCCCCCATGGTTTATAAGCAATTGGATTCGATTCTTCCGTCTATAGGGATTATTATGCTCGTCGAAAGAAGGAAAACTATACAGGGGCCGTCCCACCAATCCTACTCGGATTCCTCGCGAGCGTCTGGCCAACTCTCTGGGCTTGAATAGAGCTGAATCGGTGCAGCTCCTCAGGCTTCGCCGAGATCTTTCCGCCAAAGCCCACTTTACGTGCCGCACGCTTGATGAACGACACACGATTCGAGTAGAGCGATTCGTGGATGGACGCGGCGCGCGATTGGGTGCGGGTGGGTGGGACGCCGGTGGCAGCCACTTCTTGGGCAATGCGCTCACGACGCTTGCGGATAGCCTTGATAACGGTGGCTTTCATTCCAAATTTAACCCAGCCCAGAGGGATGAACCAGATGATGTTCTATATATACGATATGTCAGGATAAGGTTAACGCGTGACTGGAGAAAAGATACCCACCCAGATCCAAACAATGCTGATCCAACCACCAGAGATCTTAGTGAAGCCCATGTCACCGTACGCAGCAATGATGGACGAGATGAATTGGGCAAAGCAGAACGCGCCCATGAGTGCTGTAGAGGGCCGCTCCATGAAGGAGCCGTGCGAACGGGTGACGAAGATGAGGGCTTGTGAGATGATAGCAACTTGAAGGTAGACAATCATGTGCAGCTTGGGGTCGTTGTGCGAGATAGGAGGTGCGGTGTCGAGGGAGACGCCGAACTTGTCTTGGAAGAAGTTGGTCTCGATGATGATGCAGACGAGGGCAATGCTAGTGTTCGAAAATGTCAGCCGTGAAATTGATAAGTTGGGTACGACGAACTTACGTGGACGCAGTGAGGTAAATACCATATGCAAAAGCGTACGAGAAAATCCGACGGGGTTGAACGGCTTGAAGTCGAGCAGTTTGATTCCGGCACGAGCACGGGCTGTATCTCCGAGCGCTTGAACGACGGATGTGTCAATGGCGTCCTGATTCTCCACACGCGAGGCGTAAGCGGCAAGGATTATAACATCCTCCGCGGAGAAGGGGCCGTATGTCTGGATAGTGTTGCGGTCGATGGTGAGCTTGTTGGTGGTCAAGGTTCTGGTCTTATCAGAGCACAGGATAGTAACACCAGCCAACTCTTCAATGGCGGTGATGCGTGTAACGATGGCCTTGTACTTGGCTAATTGCTGAGCGCCGACGGCGAGGGTGACTGAGAGGACGGTGGGCATGGCAATGGGGATACCACCGATGAGAAGAACGAGGATGTTGTCGAGACCATCGCGATATCTGTACCTGAAGCCAGCGTACAGGACAAAGATTTCCGCAATGACGAAGACACCAATGGTGACAAGACAGAAAGATCCGATTTGAGCCAAAATCTTCTGCAAGTGACCAGTGGTGTCATCATCCTGGCCCACGAGCGAGGCAGCACGACCAAAGAAGGTGTTGGGGCCAGTGGGGATAACCTGTGAAACCTCAGTGCGTGCGGGGACTTCGTGCGATGGAGTCTCGTAGTACCGTAGTAGCTTGTCATAGTGTAGTGTCGATGAATAGAAGTAATTGGAGAGAACGCGACTGTTGAGGTCGCGCTCGTCTCCTAGGGTTGCCTAGAAGTCCTAGGCAGACCCTCGTTAACCCAGAGGACGGGCTCTCATATCCTGTGGAGGAGGGAGCATTGTACAGGGCGCTCACCCTTTGGTCTTACCAGCAGTGGACATAGGACGCTGATCACCGAGCTTGGTAGCAAGATAGTGATGGTTTATGTCTACAGCCGTTTGCATAATTCCGTGAACACCGAAAATTCTTTTTCTGGGCGTGACGTGACTAGTCACCTGACTAAGCACAGCTTTCCCTTGCGCTTTTCAGAAGTTCAGACGGTCCTGCGCCTCGTTCTTTCGCGTCTTGACCGGCGGAAATGTATAAAAAATATCCCTCCTCAATTATGGAAGGCATACTGGTCCTTTTGTCAAAGGATTAGTTATATTTTGCCATGTTCTCAGCCTTTGTGCATGACTTTTCAAACAAGCCTGACAAAACAGTGGGCCAGGTCTTTATTTAACCCCTCTACAATGCACTAAGCCACCATAAGTATGTAGCTCCAGATCTTCAGGTAGCGAAGGTGTCATGAATGTAACTCTTCACTTCATTTTGAGCCGTTGGCACAGTTATCAGAACGCGGGAAAATGTCTTTTTTGGGCAGGTAAGTCACGTCACGCCCAAAAAAAGAATTTTCGGTGTTCACGGAATTATGCAAACGGCTGTAATGGTCATCAAGAATGTACGAACGATATAACTACGCGATTACGTAAGATGTGCCTGCGCGTATCCTCAACTCCGTATCACAATGCCCCCCTGCGCGCAGACTCGTATTACGCCTTGTTCTCTTACCTCCGATCCCTCCGTTTCCCTTTGCCTGATGGTGGTTTGCCTTCTTTTGCTCGCCTATCGTCTTCCTCCTTTTGTGCTCGGCCTGCTCTGCGACTACGGCGTGCGCGGCTAGTGGATGCCACGGCTGGTAAAAAGGGTAAAGAGCTCTGTAGAGGTTGGGAGGAGGACCCTTGGACGAAATCAGAGGGCGGTTGTATTCGCTGAGTCAATGAAGTAGGCGGTTGCAAACGATCGGCTAAGGTGGCAGGGTTCCGCAAACGTTGTGCCAAAGAGAGGGATGGTATCGGCGGCGTGATGGAGGGGGCTTGAGAGGGACCCCCACCCGATGGTGAACGTAAGCGACCCAGCAACGATGGCGCAACCGTGTCGGGAGGGGGCTCGCGAAGATTATCGTCACTAGCTTGTACAGAGGGGCGACCGCATGAGGCGCAGTTGTGGCATGAAGGACAGCTGTGAGCCGGCACTGGTGGGAATCTGAAAGGTGGCCAGCTTGGCATATGAACATGCTCTGAGGGATAGTACCCTGGGTAGTGGACCGACCAAGGAGCCATGGTCGTTGGGTTGGTACCCCAGGGCATGTATCCTGGAGATGCCCCCCAGGGAGGAGGAGTCGGCCCTGCAGAGAAGGTGTTGGGAGCTGACCACGCATTGGTTCCCGACGTTTGAGCCCAAGGGTTCTGAAGATCGCTAGGGACAGGCCACATATTTGTAGCGGCAGTGGCCGACCACGCGGTTGGAACGGTCGATTCCTCTCGAATATGAGGGAGGTCTCGGGCGATAGCTATCGCCTCTCCGTCTCAGAGGAGGGGAGGGGGAACGCTGGCGAGCATGTTTACGACTACTACGACGAGGAGGGCTCTGACGCGAGGGCTCAGGAGCAGAGGGGGGAGCTGGAGGACTCATAATAGGCTGGTGGCGGAGGGGTATCGGGGTTGCCATGGGACGCGGCGGACTAGCCAACGTCTCACTGAACGGTTGAATCGGCGACTGTGATGCTGGACTTCGAGAGGGCGAGGGAACATCTCCCAAATCCACAGCTTCCATCTCGAAATCCTCGAGGGACCTAGCCGGGATCTGAGGTCCCATAGGTTCGTCCGAATCCAGTTCCCAGTCCACCTCCGGTGGAGCTCCCATCAGGGAGTCCACTGGAGAGATGGGGCGCTCACTGTCAGGAACGCCCATGTGTTCTGGTGAATTGAAAGGATCAGTCATCAATGGCAGTGGAGGGAGTGGATTGCCTGGGGGATTGCCTGGACTAGGTGGCGGTGACGGTGGTCGATTCGAAGGTCCCGCTCTGAATTCGTCCTTGAGTGGTAGATCTTCCGCTTTTGGGTGCCCCGCTCGTAGCCCTACATCTGTGGGGATCGGGTCTTTGGTCAGGTACAGCCAGGCGGAAGCTTTGGCGGGGCGCGGCGCTTTGTTCTGGGGGGTTTCGACGAAATGCAAATATCTAGGACAGGGGAGTATTTGCGCAGCGCTCAGCAAGATGACCTCACGGTTACACGAGCGGTCGAAATAGGATACTCCATCAAAGTCTCTATAAGACTTTCCCACTTTGGCCACGAATAATTCTCTGTCCACGTTTTTCTCTGCCCACTTTGCCCATTTCCCTCCTATGGGACGCATAACGGGGGGGGGACAGATCCAAGCTACTCGACGCGGATCGATCTCCACCATGTCAAGAGGTTCGGCCCCACAGTTGGAAAAGTCGAGGTCCGAGAAAGGGGAGGAAGTCGAGGTTGAGGCTGGCTGAACAGTTTGGCCTGCTGGAGGGCTTGCGATATACGCGATAGGAGCCGGACCCCCTCTCAACCATTCTCTGTGGATCAGCGAGAATGAAGCAGCTAGGGATTCCGGCAGGTCAGAGGGTTCTTCGGTTGCTATATTGTCATCATTGTCGGATTCCGTGATTATCACCTGCTGCTTACGTAGGAATGCTTTGACTTGATTGTGGGGGTGACTCAATTTTTCGATGGGGGTGCCCTGAACGAACGTAGTGTCTCTCCGCCCGTACCCCGCATCGAACAGGCGGTCTAACTCGTCTCCCCTCAGCTTATGAGATATGAAGCAAGGGATACAGTGTGCCAAGAATGAGTCAATGTCGTCCTCATATTCGCCATTGATCCAAACACCCATGTAGAACTCGTCTGCCATGTCAGGGGCCCTATTCGACGATCGGGACCAAGATATGGTGGCTTGCTGCTGCGCTACCCAATCTATCCATGCTGCCTTCAATTTGAACTTCCTTTGTAGCTGAGATATGTCGTCCAGAGCTTTGTCGAAGGAGCGTATGGAACGAAGGCTGTTGATGTCATCTCTGCTGAAGGTGGGACTGTAGCGTCGCCATACATCCTCTAA